GTATCTGTATTTGTTTCTATCTGCTACAGGAGGAAGCTTCTCTGATGATGACTGAGCAAGATACTGATCTATAAGTATAACAGAATGTCTTTGGGAATCATTTTATTGCTACTTATTTTTTTCCTCAGAACAGTAGTATTTGATCTTCCCCTAGGTCCCCGGGATATCTAGTCTCAGATTCGTGGCCACCCATGCAGTGTTGGATATGGGTTCCATCTTGTGAAGTAGGCTTTAAATCAAGTCAGATATTGGTTGGTTACTCCCACAAGCTTTGTGCCACCATTGCCCCAGTATATCTTGCAGGCAAGACACCATTGTGGAACAAAGAGTTTATGGCTGGCTAGGTGTTTATATTTCTCCTTTAGTGCTGTGCAGAGTACCTTCCTGTACCAAAGACATTAGCATAGGGGTGAAGGCTCTGTGTAGGCAGCAGCTTCTCTGTGTTCATTGAGTTGTGTAGATGTTGTCTTAAGCAATAGGGCTTTGCTGTCTGTTTGTGGAGAGCAACCTATATAGTCCTGGCAAAAGTCTGGGTTGTTTGGGACCCCTTTGGCCAACAACTCAATTAAATATAACCCAGTTCTGGTACTGGAAGCTTCATTTGGTGACGAGATGTCCAGGTGGGTCTCTGTCTTCCCCATTATTTGGTTATTTCATTTAGATATTCATATATATTTTAGGAAGCTTCTACTGCATTATGTTTCCATACTACCCTTCAAATGGCCTCTAATTTTAGGGGTCTCGCCCTGTGTTCCCTCCCTTGTTCCCATTTGCTCCCCGTCTCTACTTGATCCTCCTGTTCCAGCCATCCCCCCCATTTATCTATAACTTTCTAATCTATTTCCTTTTCCTAACCTCTGTGGTTTTATAGATTGTAGTATGGTTATCATTGACTTAACAGTTAACATCCACATATAAGTGAGTGCAAACCCTATTTGTCTTTTGGGGGGTCACCTTACTCAGGATGGATTTTTCTAGTTCCGTCCATTTTCCTGTGAATTTCATAGTTTTATTTTTTTAATGGCTGAATGATATTCCATTGTGTAAATATTCCATGTTTTCTTTAACCATTCATCTGTTGAGGGACATCTAGGTTGTTTACAGTTTCTGGCTTTTATGAGTACAGCAGCAATGAACATAGTTGAGCAAATGTCTCTGTGGTGGGATGAAGTGTCCTTTGGATATATGCCCGGGAGTGGTAGAACTGGGTCTTGACATAGATCTCGTCCCATCTTCTTAGGAACTGCCACATTGACTTGCGCAGTGGCTGTCCAAGTTTGCAGTCCACCAGCAATGGATGAGTGTTCCCCTTGCTCCACATCCTCACCAGCACGAGCTGTCGTTTGTTTTATTAATCTCAGCCATTCTGATGGATGAAAGATGGAATCTCAAAGTAGTTTTGATTTGCATTTTCCTGATGACTAAGGATGTTGAACATTTCCGTGTTTCTCAGCCATTTGAGATTCTTCTTTTGAGAGTTCTGCTTATATCTATACCTCAGGTTTTAATTGGGTTACTTGTTTTCTTGATATCTAGTTTCTTGAGTTCTTTATACATTTTGAATATTAGTCTCCTATCAGATGTGGAGTTGGTTAAAAAAAAAATCTTTTCCCATTCTGTAGGCTGCTGGTTTGTCTGAATGCTGGTGTCCTTTCTTATACAGAAGCTTCTCAGTTTTATGAGGTGCCATTCATTAATTGTTGGTCTTAGTGCCTGTGCTAACAGTATTCGGTTCAGAAAGTCTTCTGTGCCAATGAGTTCAGGGCTGTTTCCCACTTTTTCTTTTATCAGGTTCAGTGTATCTGATTTTATGTTGAGGCCTTTGATCCATTTGGACTTGAGTTTTATACAGGGTGACAGGTATAAATCTATCTGGATTCTTCTACGTGCAGCCATCCAGTTTGACTAGCAACATTTGTTGAAGATGCTGCCTATTTTCCAGTGTGTATTTCTGGTTTCTTTATCAGAAATCAGGTATCCATAGGTGTGTGGCTTTACGTCCGGGTCTTCATTTTGACTCCATTGATCAGCATGTCTGTTTTTGTGCCAATCACTACTGTAGCTGTGTAGTAAGTTGGGGGTCGGGCATGGTGATGGCTCCAGCATTTCTTTTATTATTTGGGATCTGACGCTGGCACAGGCTCACTGGCCACGTTGGAGTGAGCGGAGGAGATGGAGCTTGTGGATTGCCAAGCATACCTTTGACCCCTAGGTTGGAGTCGAGGTGTAAATTGTAGGTCTGCCTACAGACCATTTTGTGTGTCATTCAAATTCAAAATTGAAGGGATGTTGATGAGATGACAAGGCAGGCGTGTAAGGGTTCTTGTCACCAAGCCTGATGACCCTGGTCTGATCCCTTGGACTCATGTAGTGGAAGGAGAGAACCCATTCCCACGAATTGCCCTTTGACTTCAGTATGTGAGCTCTCACAGGCCTATCTCTCTCTCTCTCTCTCTCTCTCTCTCTCTCTCTCTCACACACACACACACACACACACACACAAGGTAATAAATAACAACAAATTGGAGAGACTCTTCAGGGAAATTGTGAAACTGTCCTTTACACTCTGAGAGACAGGATTTAGGCTGTACTGTAGGGAAATGTGCTGATCTTGTTTATTTCACTAACAATGTATCTTTGGGGATGAAAGCCAAAGCAATTTTGTAACCTAAAAGTACTTCTGAGTTGTTTGTCCAAATTAGCTGGGGGGTGTTTGTCTGTGTTTGGGTTATGGATGGATCCTTCATGTAGGAAGCAGGAGTTCATTATTTTGGCTGTGAGATGTTATTAGAGTTAAATTCTCTAGGTCTGGCCAACTGTGAAGTTAGCCACCAGACAGTCATGGGACCACAATGTCAGTCGTGTTAAAATAAGACCTGTGATCATGGATCGTTTTTACCTAGAGAAGGATAACATTGTGAAGTCATCTAATTTTAACTGTTAGGAGGAAAAAACTAATTTGTCTTAGGTTTGTCTTCCGTTAGGCCATTTTGGTTTTGGTAGTAGTCAGTGCTGATGTAGCCCCTGGCTTTCTGCCTTCCCCCCAAAATATCATATTCAGGATTGAAATGCACTTGTGGTCTTCCTGATGTTAAACTGGAGTTGTTAAAATTGGTTAGTATGGGACTGGAGAGATGCTTCATTATTTAAGAGCAATTGTTGCTCTTCCAGAGGTCCTGGGTTTGAGTTCTAGCACCCCTGTGGTGGCTCACAAGCATCTGTAACTCCAGTTCCAGGGGACCTAGTGACCTCTTCTGGCCTCGGTTGGGCACAGGCATGGACATGGTATGTAGACATACATGCAGGCAAAACAACTACACACACACAATAATTAAAATTTAAGAGTAGGCTGATATATAAAATAGCCCTTTAACACATTAATCTTCAGATAAAATTTTCTAAATATTTTAAGCTAATAGTTACAAAGTGAGATCTGCAACAAATGAAGATCACTCAGTGTACAGATAACAATTGGATGATGTGGAGAAAGGGTGATTATCTAGGTTTTGGATGCCTTTGTCTTCGTTTTAGTTGTTTTGAGTTTTGCCTCATGATTGCAGATCTCTCTCTCTCTCTGTGATTGGGCTCACCACTGATAGGTTTGTTTTCCACGCATGTCCTCTGATAACTTAAATACATTCCTGCACTGTGATTGATCAAACCAAAGCTTAACCAGGAGAAAAATAAAATTCCTTCAAGCTTTAAAACACTGCAATGATGGTTGATGTGTGCCAACCTTAGGAAACTTTTTATATGCTTTTGATCATTTTGAATAGAATCCGTCAGGCGGTGGTGGTGCACACCTTTAATCCCAACACTCAGGAGCCAGAGGCAGGCAGATCTCTGTGAGTTTGAGGCCAGCCTGGTCTACAGAGTGAGTTCCAGGACAGCTAGGGATACATAGAGAGACCCTGTCTCAAAACAAACAAACAAACAAACAAACAAACAAACAAAACCCCAAAAGCCATGCAACCCTTCCCAGTCTTGCTTTGTTCATTCCACTTTAATGAGGGAATCAAAAAATCCTATGGATCAGTTGCCAGGAAATATGTGCACTGCAGGGTGGAGTTTCTTTGGGTTATCAATTCTCTTTTTCCAATAAGAGTGGCAGTTCTCAATAATAAATCACAGCTTCCTTCCCCATTGGTCAGACATTCAAGATGTCAGGTAGGAAGTTCTGTTCACAGTGGTACTGTCTGCAGGTTGGGGATGCTTTCTGATTTCAGCCTCGAAGCAGTAATTAGTATAACAAGCTCTGTCTGGTGCTTCATAAAATAAGCTGCTTCGTGGGTATAAGATAAGCAACCCAGGAGCCCCATGGAGATCTGTTCACACACTGTGTGTGCAAATATGTATATGGACCAAAGTGTGGAAAAATACCAAATGCTTTAAACACTAACCTGGGCAAGAGATGTGTCAGCTGGGCCCGTGGGAAATAGGTGGGGGTTGGGGGCAGTCTTAGGAGTCACATGGGCTGGCGCTGGAGGATGGGTAAGATTTCGTGGGCCGTGTGCTAGCGCATGCATGTCAGAGAAAAGAATGAGCAGCGGTACAGGGAGAAGGCAGTATGGATGCTGATGACTACCACTGCCAGACATTCTCCCCCCAGCTCCATGCTGTCCCTTTGTTTGCCTTTCAAAACTTAGTTCAAACCTCACCATGTCCTCCCTCAGGAAGACTTATGGTTTGGACATGAAGTGTCCCCCCAAAGACTCATTATGGTGGCTCGCTCCCCAATTGGTGGACCCAATCTTGAGAGGCAAATATGAGGGCTCTGACTCACAGTGGTTGAATCCACTGAGTGAGACATAATTTGATGGTCTGATATGGGGGTGATGGAGACTTTGAGAGGTGGGACCTAGTTGTGGGAAGGCGGTCCCTGGGGCATGGCCGTGGGGCCTCTTCTTCTAGGCCTCTCAGTCTCTTCACTTAATGGCCACTATGAGGTGAGTGGGTCTTCTCTGCCACACCCTCTGTACCATGACGATCTGCCTTACCACAGGGCTGAAAGCAGTGAAACCAGCTGGCCAGAGACTGCAGCCTCTGAGACCATGAGCAAAAGTAGGTTGTTCCTCTTCTCTCTCTTGTGTCTCTTGTCCCAATGTTGCGAGTCTGGTTACAAAGGCTGCTTGAACTGCATTTGAGTATTGGAATCAGACCCTCACTCGCTGTGCTCTTGGGCAAGTTACTGAATAGTGAAATGTATAGCAACGCTGTGTGGTAGCCGTGTTAGTGGTCTTCATTGTTGGTTCCGTCTTTCATCCCCACGCTGTCCTCAGGAGGCAGGAAATACTGTCTCTCTCATTTCACAGGCTGAGGGGACTGATGTGTAGAAAGAAACAAGTGAATTGCTCAAAGGCACGCGGCAAGACTGTGGCGGTACTGGGAGCTGGCCCCTGGCCCTTTGACTTCAGAAATGGCCCTCTTTACTCTGGCTAGCCTTGCTGAACCACCGTGTGTTTATTTGCAAAGCCTCGTGCTTTTCACCAGTGCTCAGCATGCAGTAGCGACTCAGAACTGGAAGGCGCGGTGGTCGTATTTTCCATCCTTTCCTTTGACCGAGAGCTTTTTCTTCTTGTACATTTTCCTCAGGTAGTGATTGATGCAGGTTTCATACATTAGGCTGGAAGCGTCTTGAAGACAGAAACTCCACGTATCATGGGTCCCACAGTAGTGCAGTAAATGCTTGCCGAATGAGTAAACACATGCATTATTTTAATCCGGTCATGGAAAACCAGCCCTGTGGAGCGGCTCATATCTAGGACTTCCAGGCATGCACTGCTGGGTTTGAAGACAGCCCCCTATCAACCATTGCCTTTGTGTCTTATGCACATTGGCTATCCCCCCTTAAGGCTCCACTTCCTTGTTTATGTAAAGGGGATAATATATTTGTTAGGAAAACCAAGGGGGTAATGCCTATCGGGCTTGACAGAATGTTCGGCATATGGTAAGTCAACAGTTCCCATTATTTGTAGTGAATTATTGCCAAAAGTTAGATGCTCTGCCTCATGTTAGAGGTATAGAGGTAAAGATTGTCTTCTCATCCAGGAACTTCACCTATCACAAGATGGAATTATCACTAGTTATATAATCTTGTACAGTAAGGTTACAGTGGACAGTTTGGGTAAACTGCAGGAAAAGAGAAGAATAGTCAGCACTTTGGTGGAGAGATAGATAAGCTGGGTTTTGACAGACGAATAATAAAATTCTTAAGACAGCGCAGGAATAGGGTCCTCAAATGCCAGGATTGTGGATTTAATTGACTAGGGAATGGGAAGTCATCGAAAGTTTCTGAGTGGGAGGGTGACAACAACAGAGCTGTCCTTTAGGGAGATTAATCTGACAAAAATATGTAGGATGAGTTAGTGGAGAGAGAAGCGAGGAAATAAATACCACATAGACCTTTAGTGGAACCTCCCACACGGGATAGAAATCCACTCTGCAGCAGCCCGTACAGATGGTCATCCAGCTGATGCCTGAACCGCCCGGCAATGGAAAGTTCACTACCCCGTCCAACAGCTCCCTCTTTTCCTATTCCTCTCTCCTTCGCTCTTCTCCATCCATTCCCATCATCCATCCACGCACCCTTCGTTAAAATGTGTCCTACGTGCCTTACAAGGCTAGGTCCTGGGAGTGTAAAGCTGAGTATCATTGCCTTGAGAATCTCACAGGCCAGTAGTGATGTTTTTGTTTGGTTTTGTCTTTGTTGAATAATCCTGATGGTTGGAAGTTGTTTCTTTGTAGCTTGAGCCTGAGTCTGCTCCTTGAGTCTTTGTCTTGCTAGTCCTGTTTTTTTTTGTTTGTTTGTTTTTTGTTTGTGGTTGTTGTTTTGTTTGTTTTCTTCATTGTGCACCTTCATCCCATGGCATGCATCTTTCATGTTCACAGACTTGTGTCAGGGAACTTTTCTCTCTTCTCTGGGAAACTAGCACCTTTCCGAGGGCCTTCTATGGCAGACTGTAAAATGGTAAGATGCCGAGTGAGGCTTTGGAAGTCGTTTAGAACCTCTATCTCAGCCCTCATCACTCTGAGGTAAGGTTTGAGTCACAGATACGTTGTGACTTGCCTGCGATCACACAGCTGCTGAGCGACAGAAGCAGGGCAGGAACCCAGGCTTCCCAGTGTCTGGACTTGTAAGACTTTTCAGCTGTCTTGTCTCGTGACTCCTCCCAGATGTTCTACACAGTTTTCCTATCTCTCAAAAGTCTGGAAGCGAAAGTTGAGAGTCCTGGCGCAGTTGTGTTCTGGTCTGGATAGAGAACTGAGTTAGAGTTGGAAAGGCCCTTAGTGGAATGTTCCAGCCTCATGCGAACCTCAGGTCTGTATTTTCTCCTTCAGTCTCCCAGTGGCCACTGTGGGTTTGTTGGACCAGTTTCAAGATGACCAAAACTGAACCTCATAGGAATGAAGTGCTTTCTAACCTTTGGCCACAGAGCTAGTGCATGGACATGGTGGAAAGCTCTGGTCTCAGTATCAGTTCATTGACCTCTTCCTAGAAAAGGGCCCTTACCAGTGTTTCTGACCAATCATAACCAAGATACACTCAATGAAGCGAGTATTCATGAGCCTGTGTTGAATGACCATCATCAGATGCTTTTACCCCTTTGTTCCTTGAACGGGACAGATGTTCTCATTCTTCCACCTCTGGAAGAGTCTTACAATCTGAACTATCTTCTCCTTGCTTTTCGTTTTCTAACCCTGTCTCGACGCGTGCCTCTCAGAGCCGTTCGGTGCGGTTTGGTTAGGGAAGTCTTGCCGAATGGCTCCTCTCACAGCATCCAATGCTGGCCCCTCTTAACACTGACACCATCTGTGTGAGCTTGCTAATTCATTCAACCCCTGTCTGTGCTGCTCTGTTGCTGTGGTAAACTGTAAAGAAGAAAACAATGTATCATGGCTGGAGTTCTAAAGGGCTGGATGTCCAGAGTGGTGGAGAAGGCATTGGCAGCACGTAAAGAGCGGGAAAACGGACTGATCATGTTTCAGTCACACACGGGAAGCTCAAGTGTAAATGGAGCAGGCTAAGACTCCTCAAGGCCCATCCCCAGCGACGAACTTCCTCCCGCAAGGCTCTACATTCTAAAGGTCCCGTAGCCTCCTTGAACAACACTGACTGAGGACCAAGTGTTCAAATACACGAGCCGATAGGGGACATTTCTCATTCAAACTACAACACTGTCCCTCAACTCAAAGTTCTTTGAGGAGAGGCCAGGACCTCATCTGTCTCCTAAGCAAGATATACCGTGTGCTCCTCACACGGTGGGCGCTTATCAGTCCTCCCACTCAGGTGACACTGAGGTCCTGCTGTGAGCTGGGCTGGGTAACTACCTAATGACTTGGGTTCTTCGGGCAGATAAAGGAACCATTGTAGTGTTACCTTTAGCCCAGCAAGTAAATGGTTCCCCAGGAGTAGACATGCTGGCTAAGGGATTCGGAGGGCTGCTGGCCAAGGTATCTCAAGAACTCTGTGAGAGCAGAGTTCAGCTCTTAATTTGCTCTTTTATGCTTCAGGTGTCAAGACTCTTGACATCCCCAGTGGACCAGACTTTGTCTGCTCACCAACAGCTCTGTCAGGAACAGGATATCAAAGTTAGCTTGACATATAATATTCCTAGTGAGTCCCTGTTAGTGTCTTGTGATTCTAAAAATCTCTGCTAAAACTCTGTTTTAGCTTTGACAGAAACCTGGCCACTACCTTAGTTTCCTGAATCTATCCCCATTTGGAAAGAAAGAAAGAGAAAAAAGCAAGCTGACCTGTCTCCTTGTGTTTGCAGCTACCCTGTGACCTCTGTGAATCTCCAAAGACTCCCAGAGAGGCTTGGAGTCCAGGAAGGTCCTCTGCCCTCAGCTGCCTTCCCCCTTTTAGACGTTTGTTATTTCCCCTTGTTCTTTTCACTGGCGAGCCCAGGGAGGTGTTTTCGGGCAGGAAACGGAGTGATGGTCTCTGGAAGCTGTTCTCTTCAGCTGGGTGGTCCTGGGCAGGCTTTGGCTCCCACCTGTTGAGAGTCTAGTTGACGTTGATGAGCTCGGTGTCTCCTTCCAGCTCTCGGCCCCAGGCAGCTCCACTTCCTGAGGTTCCAACCTTCCACCTCCAGAACACAGGCCGAGAACTCTTCCGCTCCAGTTCAAGGCTTACGTGTCTGACCTTTCCCGCCCTCTCCTGTCCTCCATGACTGCGAAGGTTTGTTGTCTTTCCTCTCCTTTAGCCTTCCAGCCCTTTCTCCTGGATTCAGCTTACCTTGGGCGGGACCTTCCTAACTTTGTACAGACTTGGACTGCACTTGGAAACGACTTTGTCCACTCCGTTCTGCGGCTCACTGATGTGCCTAGAACTCTGTTGAGTGTCCATGCTTAACCTTGGCTCCAGCGGTTTGGCTTTGGGTTGGACACTTTACCTTTCTGGGTTTCACCTCACGTTCCCTATCTATGGAATGTGAGCGATGATAGAGCTCCCTTCTGTGGACGCTGTGAGGTGTCAGGAGCTTGCTTTGAGTTGAGTCAGTTTATTTCTGGTGAGCGACTGTTCAACATTAGCCCTTTTAAATACTTCTCTCTTCAAATTTCAACCATTGAACTGCCCCACCCCCCACCCCCCAGCAGACCTCCATTGGATTCTTTCTTGCTCATACAGCACGTCACTGTGTAGGGGGGGGACTATGGGTGAAACTTTGCAGGTCAACAAGTTTGCTACATGAAGAGGAACATGACAGCAGTGGCCAGCTGTAGATAGGAAAACTGTAGATAGAAACCAGGGTCCAAAAGGAAAGATTCTTTTCCTGAGTGCTGAAAAAGACATGATCAGAGCAGCTGTAGATGGGGAGGGGAAATCCTCTGCTTGGACAAGGCTAGCCGTACCTCATGGGTCAGAAGTAATGACATATACACACACATTTAACTATACGAGCACTGCGTTGTGTTCATATTTTCCAGGCATCCAACTAATGATTTATTTACTTAGTTTTGTTGCTTTGAGACAGGTCTCATGGAGCCCAGGCTGGCCTTGGTTTCTTATGTAGCCAGGGCTGGCCCTGAGTTCCTTGTTCTCCTGTCTTCCAGGCGCT